CCTGACAAAGGAACTGAAGGGAAGAATGGTTCATCTGGGCTCAGGCTTGAGAGTGTGGTCCACCATGGCAGGGACGATAAGGAGGCAGGCGTGTGAGATGGTTGGCCACAGTGCATCTGCCATCAGGAAGCAGAGAGCCAAATGCTCAATGCTCAGCTTGCTTCTTCCTTTATGCTTGGTTCAGGCCTCCTGGGCATACTCTGCCTCTATTAGCCTAATCTAGCTAATCCCTCACACAAATGCCAGAGCCTTATCTCCTTGAAGAGTCTAGATTCTGTCAAATTGACTAAACTAACCACATACCCCGAGTGTCTTGTTGATGGCTCTGATGCGACCAGCTAAAGCAGGCCTTATGCACGTGTGGCAGACAGGTGACAATTTGCTGGAGTCAGTTCTCTCCTTCCATCATATGGGTCCCTGGGATTGAACTCAGATAGTCAGGTTTGGCAGCAAGCACCTTTCCCCCTGAGCCATCTCGCTGGCCCAAAAACAAGCCACTTGTTGAACTCATGCAGAAAGTCGGAATACCTGGACAGGTTTCTTTTCTTCACAGTGTAAACTGTTCAGAGAAGATGTCTGGGCCTGAGATAGGCTTTTTTATATTACCGGGGGCCTGGGCTCTGTCTCATTCCTCCAGGTATGATATAGTTTTTTTCCTTGTGATTCCAAAACTGTTAGTCCAAACACTGCAGTTGCCTTTCTGGGAGGAAGGGAGTTCAGACAATGGTGAGAGGGCCCATGCTCATGGAAGCTGTGCTTTTTAAATCAGAAAAATGGTAGGTTTCCTAGAAGTGCTAGGATGGCAGGCTGTTTAAAACACAAATAGCCCTCTGCCTAGCCTTTTTATTTTTAGCTTCTCTCAGGGGCAGGGCCTATTATTTTTGTTTGGTGGCCGTTGTTGTTTTATTTGATTAAATAAAAATCCCCTTTGTGGGGGAAATGCCCTATGAGGTAATTCTTACTAGAGTGTGAGTTACAGATGCTACTTTGGTCACTTCCTAGGAGGGTGAGGTAACTCTGTGTGTGTGTGTGTGTGTGTGTGTGTGTGTGTGCGTGCATGGTGGGACAGTATGACCATCTCACTCCCTAGGCCAGAGGCGGGAGAGAATAGGGCCTTTACCTCCAGGTCCAGGGCTCTGCTCTTTTCCCATAGCAGTGGTCACACCCACACCCCCCATGTCCTGGTGGGTGCTCAGAGCCAGTCTTCAATGGAGGGCACAGCTGGGCTGTTTAGATTAGTTATAAGAGTCCCCGCCAACCATGGGGTGGTGACCCTGAGGCCTTCTGTCTGCAGGGCCGGGGGTGGGGGGGTCTCAAAATGTGAGTGTGTGTAACTCCCGGGCAGCTGTGTCCTCTGCACTGCCTCCTATGGACCCTCACACATAGCCTCACAACAGGGTTCTCTGAGAGCCTGGAACTCATTGGAGACCTGGATCTTTCTGGCCCAGGTCTAAGGCTGTGTTTGCTAGGGTGACTCTCAGAGGGCCACATCTCTTCAGCAAAATAAAGGTGCAGGCAGGCCTGGACCAGCACACCGCGTGGGGTTGAAAGGGACAAGGTGCTGTCTACTTCTCACATTTTCTGTGCTTCTACCCTTGGGCCTATAGGTCTCAGTTCCAAGCCCCAGAAGCAGAGGAGGATAAGGTCACAGGGTACCAGCAACAGAATACTTCTGAGCGGGCAGAAGACACCAGTGTGGCCCTCCTAGGATTAGAAGAGGCCCTTGGAGCTTCTCAAAGCTGCCCTACTCACAGCTGCCCACATTGTCCCTGAGGAGGACCTACCTTCTAGAAGGTCCTGCTGCTGGGCTATTGTGTATCCTCCCTCAAACCCAGGTCAGCTAGGTCTACACCAACACCCCTCTTGCCTTCCTTCCCCAGCTGGAGCTGGGGACGACTTATTTTAAGGGCTCAATTATATAAGGAAAGAACAGGTGATAGCAACAATGGTGGTCAGAAGGTCCCACACATGCACGTGGAGGAGGTACACTAGCTGCACACTAGCAGGAGCGGCTGCATCTGGGTTGGCTGAAAGGACACCGACTCCCACACTCATTGTTGAAATGTGAAACCTGGTGGATCTGTGAGGGTTATTTTTACTGCCCAGCATGTGGGTGGAGATGGGGTGTTCTGAGCCACCTCTTGCCCCACAGAGAAAGTGGCAATTGAGCACTGAGCTGAGTACTCCTTGGAAGAATGTCTGTTTAGACTGGAGCATGCTGTGACAGGTGACAGAGCAGGACCCCCACCAGGAACTCAGCCTCCTAAGGAGAGATGATGTGCTAGGCTCTCAGAAGTCTCACCAGATAACATGTCTGCTAAGACAGTTTTGTATTACTGATTTATTATATATATATATATATATATATATATATATTTTTAGCATTGGAGTCAGAACCCAGCGCCTTACATGCTACCTAAGTATCCCGCCCCCAGGCCTCTCTCTTTGAGACAATGTCTCCCTAAGTTGCCCAGGCTAGCCCTGAGCTCACTGTGTAGCCCAGACAGATTTTGAACTTTTGATGCTCCTGCCTCAGCCTCTAGGGCAGCTGGGATCATAGATCTCCTCCACCAAACCTGGTGCAAGGACAGTTTTGTGAGCAGATTGTAGCCTACTCCCCATTCCTTGTAACCTACATGATGGCAGGGCGTCTGAGATACCCAGGGCTCCATCAGCCAACAGGGAGGATGCAGCTATGGTGGGAAGAAACCCAGGCCTGCTGTTTCTAACAGGAAAAGACAGAGTGTGCTCAGGAGAAGTCTATGCTGCTGTCTTCTGCTCAGTTTTAAATTCTCCCCTGGAAAGTAGGGTTGCCCTGGTCACTGCTCTGTGTTTGAAGAAGCAGAGGCTTGTAGACAACTGCAGCCCAATTATAGTCACAGCCAGGAATTGCGGGTTCCATGCATATGGATAGGGAGGGTGACCTCTGTGGAGGGTGCATTGGGTATTAGTATCTATTAGATACTATTAGAAAAGAGCAAGTCACCACAAATAGCAGGAGTTTGTTGTCTTACAGTCTGAAGGCTGGGAGCCCCAAGTAGGTTCCCCATAGCTGAGCTTTGAGAACAAGAGCCCCCAGGTGCTGATCCCCTCTGCTGCCTCTTAAAAGCAGCCTGCACTCTCCTGCTCATGGACTCGTGCTCTACCTTCAGAGTCAGCATCCCTGGGATATCTTCCTGTATCCCTGGCTCCTGTTCTCTTCCTTCACTCACAGGGCCTATGTGCACCATCTAAGACCGACTCTTGATTCTAGATCTATGACCTGTTCCCTCTCTAGAAGTCTCTTTGCCTGGTAAAGTAATTTCAAGTATAGGTTTTAGTGTGATCAGGTGGTGTTGTGGAGATTTATAAGCTCCCACAAGTGGGAAATCACAGAATTCATGGGCTGGTTATATATATTTTTATAAGGCACATTAAAATAAATTTATCACTATAAAAGCAAAAACGTCTGTGTACAGTTTATATAAAGTGATGTCACACAAAACCTTATCCTGAGGGACCTCTGGGGTCTTCCTGAACTGCTCAGTTCTACTGCCTCCACCCTGGCTCCTCTGATGCTCTGGTTACCCAGCTAGAAGTTGTCAAGATTCGAGCCCTGGCCACCACTGAGTCCTCAATTCCTGTACCATTTTGATGTCAGGGCTCAGTCAGGGGCCACCCAGGAGCTTGTGTGTGTGTGTGTGTGTGTGTGTGTGTGTGTGTGTGTGTGTGTGTGAGAGAGAGAGAGAGAGAGAGAGAGAGAGAGAGAGAGAGAGAGAGAGACTGGGTGTCTTTCTCAGTGGCTCTCCACCTTCTTTTTGGAGTCAGGTTCTCTCACTGAACCCAGAGCTCGTCTACTGGGATTACAGGTGGAGTGGAGCTGCTTTGCCAAGATTTTTACGTGTGTGTGCTGGGGATCCAAACTCAAGAGCTCAGTGAGACACTTTATTGACTAAGCCATCTCTCCAGTCCTCACCCTGATAGATTTTGTTGCCCTGACTGGAGGTGGAGGGGAGGTTAGGGAGAGATGCTGAAGGGCCTTTTATAATCTCTCCTGTGGCAGAAAACGATGAGCTGCTGTGGTGTCCAATCCAAACTCTATAATGTCACAGGAGGCGGGGCTTCCCAGAGGCTCAGACCGTGCTCTCCGCTTGAGCGTCATGTCCCTTCCTTTATTGCTGCGAGTGTCCTTCATACTCTCAGAAGTCAGGAAAGAGCCCCAAGCTTATTAATTCCAACGTTTCCCAGGGAGTGAGGAAGAGGATGCAACCCCAGTTTTCTGTTTCAGGGAACCCCACAAAGCACGTTTGGCCAGGGGTCTCCGAAATCACCTTCAGGGGATACAGATTGCAAGAGGAAGAACCTATTGCAGGGCCCAGCCCATGATCATGCCCATGGTTTTGCTTGGTGATAATTCTCTCCTTCAGAGCCCAGGATGAGGGGGAGGTGGCTATGAGCAAGGACCTCAGCTCCAGAGAAGGCTTCTAGAATCAGCAGGCCTTCGGTCCAATCCCCATTCCTTTTCAGCATCTGTAGAATAGGGATAAGAATAGCACCTCTCTGGAATGGCCCGGGTGGGTGAGGAACCAAGGGGCTAAGCCACATGGGGTCAGGAAGGAGCAGTTTAGTGACAGTTGCTGTTTTTGCAACCAGGCAGATCTGGGTTTGATGCCTGCTATCAGAACTACTGTTTCATTTGGGACAAAGCCTTGACTTTTCTGAATGCCAGATTCTTTTTCTAGAAATGGGCTTCTAAGGGTGGTGTTTAGCATCCAGGAAGCAGTGTATATAAGTGCTTAGCCCAGGCCTGGCAGAGCACTGGTGCCCCTGGGAGTGGTAGATGCCCCATTCGGGCTCCCTGAGGTCGGATGTGACCCCCCCACTCCCCCACTGCAGCTGTTTTACCCCTGACATAAAGACCTGGCCCCTGCCGTCTGAGGGCAAGGCGGAAGTGAGGCAGGCAGCCCAGGCAGCTTCCTCTTTTTTTTTTTTTTTTTTTTTTTTTTTTTTTTGCCCTGCTGTGAGCCCAGGACTCCTTGTTGCTTAGAGCTTCAGAACAGGGAACCCTGCACCATGGCCTCCCGTGCAGCACCAGTCCGGCAGACATGCTGTTGCTTCAATGTCCGAGTCGCCACCACCGCCCTGGCCGTCTACCATATAGTGAGTATCGGGGTAGCTGGGGTGCTTGTTATATGTGTGTGTGAGTGTGTGAGTGTGTGCTGACCCACTGAGACCTTCTAATAGGTGAATTACTACCTATCACTTGTCTGTGGGACTTGGGACAAGCCCTGTGCTGCTCTGGGCTTCAGTAGTCCCCTGTCAAATGTGAGTAGGATAGTGTCCTTAAGGCTGTAGGTATGCAAAGAGAAGGGCAAGCTGTGATTGCTCCAGGATGCTGGGTCCCATGCAGGCTTGGGTGCAGGGCCTTCTGGGCCCTATCCTAGGGCTGGGCTCTGGGGTCACACCTTTGGCCTTCCAGTGAGATCCAGGGGACCCTTTTCCTCTCAGCTCACAGCCCAGTTTAGCTACTGCATTCTCCCTTCAAGGACAGCTCAAGTTCTGTGCTTTGGGGAACTGCTGGGTGCAGCCAGCATGACCAAGTGGCCCCTGTCATGCCACAGCATGCCACCAGTCTCTCCCTTTGGAGTAGCCCAAGGTCGGGGTCTCTGTTCTGTTCTGTTCGGATCTATACCCCCTCCCCCAGCCCCTGGCCACACTCAGCTCCCCGAAGTCCAGGCATCTTTCTGCTTCGCTGACTCAGACAGAGCCTGTGGCTAGCAGCTCTCCTGGGCCTGGAAGCGCTTCCTCAAAATCAACCTAAATCCGTAGGCTGCTGAGCCTGGTGACATCTGCTTCCGGCCACAGGCAGGGTGTCTGGGCTGTGGTAAGAACCTGCTCTGTCCCTAGGCTCTTGTGTATGCCTTGCTACCTCCTCCCCCTCCCCAATTCCCAGACTTCGCTGTGCCACCTTGGGTGACTGACTTGCTTAACCTCTCTGAGTCTGTTTCCTTATATCAAATGAAGATAAGGATGACAAGAGCCATGTGCTAGGTTGCTGTGTGGTGAAATTGGTATCTATAAAGCCCGAGGGATGTTACTTAACACAGTCCACTGCCTTTTTATGAGTGTGCCCCAACCTGTGCATCTAGAGCAGCAGTTCTCAACCCTCCTAATGCAGTTCCTCATATTGTGGTGACCCCGACGATAATGTTATTTTTGTTGCTACTTCATAGCTGTAATTTTGCTACTGTTAGGAATCATATTATTATTATTATTAGAGATAGGTGTTTGACAAAGGGAGCTGGACCCACAGGTTGAGAACCACCGATTTGGAGACTGGCATTAGGGATACCTCAGAGGGCATCCCACACAGCCTCAGTCAGCACAGGAGCTTAGAGAGGCGATGGCAGTCTGTCTCCACATCAAGTCTTTCAGGCTATCTATCTACCTCTGAGATGGTACAACATTCTGGAAAGGATGTGGCGAGAATGCTTATGACAGCTCTGCTCTAGCCAGCTGCCGAGCTTCTGGGAAAATATGACTGGGGGCCTGCTTCCCTTTCTAAAGTGGGGATGGGGTTGTGGACTGGGGGTTTCTAACCCAGATGCTGGCAGTGTGCCAAGGGGGTCACTAAGTGGCTTCAGTGGGGTGGAGGGGCTGGCGGTGGCTGGGGCCCTTGTTCCATCTGCTCCTGTGATCATGCTCCTGCCTTTGAGAGAAATACGTTCTGTCTGATCATCTGCTATCTCAGAACACATTAAACATATTAAAAAAACAACAAAAAAGCAAAACCACCCCAGTAGACTGTACTGCGTGACCATTGAGGTTCTTCTTGTCCATGCCATCCAAGCTCCTCAGCTGTGGATGGGTGAGTGATGTCCTGTTTCCATAGAGACCTGGAGACTGTGGATCAAGTGATCCAGGAAGGCTTCCTAGAAGGAGCACCATAGGTGGGAGGCGGGGGTTGGCTGTAGTATTGGTGGGGAAGTATGGATGAGAAGCTGGGGTACAAAGGTGAGGGGTATCTGCTTCAGGGACCCTACTGAGACTGCCAGGGAGGTTGGGGGGGGGCGGGGAGAAGTGACAAGAGCATCAGGTGAAGTTGAGCCTTTGTCCCTTTCCCCCAGTGTTCCTCCGCTATTTGGGGCTTGGTAGGTCTTTGCATTGTATGCCAGCAGTCACCCCCAGCCACCATTCAGGTCCCTAGGTGTGGGCCATGATTGTGCAGACTGTAGAAACACTGCTTGGTATGTGAGTCATTCAGAGACATGGAATGTTCTAGAGCCATGGGGGTTGTGGGGAGGGAGGCAGTAGAACAGAAGAGGAGCCTGGAAGACAGATACCACCCCAGGGACTGGGTTAGGGTATATAGCTGATCTTCCTGCCCCCTTGGGTAGAGACCCCTGTCCCTTCCCAGAAGAGAAGGGCTGGGGGGCTTTCCTTTGGTGCAGCATGTGGCTGGCAGGTGTGCCAACAGGACCTCAAACATCTGGAGAGAAAACGAGAAGCCTCTACCAGATGTACAGTCACTCCTGTTGGCGTCATCTGGAGCCAGCCATGGGTGACATCTCTGTACGTTGCGAGCTATTTGTGGATGTGGGGAGAGTTAATTTTGGCCTTTGATGCTAGAGATAGGGCCATGCTTCATGGAACTGTAGGGGTGCAATTATGGGAAGATCCTACCTGGCCACCATGGTTCGTGGTCGGGATGCTCCAGGCTCTCAGGCTCGCACACAGGGAAGTGAGATGCTCTCCCCCAGCTGGACTCTTGAGTCCTGCCTAGGCTGTCCTAAGTTGGTATCAGAAAACAAGGAGGGAGGAGGAGACCCCAGCAGACCTTTTAGTAGGGAAATCCCTGTGCTCTCCCTTGCTGTATTCCTGTATTCCTGATAAGGTGAGGGAGGCTGACACCTGCTGCCATTAGCTTGTGGACTGTGAAAGCTCTGTCATCCCCCCCCCCCACACTTTTCTGCTTTTATTTTATTTCTTTGAGACAAGGGCTTGCTATGAAGCCCAAGCTGGCCTAGAACTCACTCTCCCACTTCAGCCTCCAGAGCTGTGTTTACAGATGTGCTCTACCACACTCTGTTCACGAGCTATTTTTTTTTTTCCTTTCTCTCCTCCTGCTCCTTTTATTGTGACACCAGGAAGGGATGGCACCCGGGGCCTCAGACACACCAGGGAAACCTGCTGACAGGGATGCATTCCCAGCCCCCTTTTTATTTTGACCCAGTGTCTTACAAGTTGCCCAGGCTAGCCTGGAACTTGTGTGCTTCCTCCCTCAGCCTTCAGAACATCTGGATTACAGGCCTGTACCACTAGACCCAGCGCACAGGCTACCTTTTAAAACAAGCATTTTGTTTTTGAAACAGTTTCTGACTGAGAGGAAACTGCAGATTTGGTGCAGAGAGCTCCCGAGTGCCCCTTTCCTGTCTCCACACTGCCTGTGTCTCATGTTAGTGGGACACAGGTGGGACAGTTGGTCCATCAGTACCAACACACTGTGCTTTCCCTTTCTGTCCTTATCCTTTTTCTGTTTCAGAGTCCCTCTGGGACATATCTCAGTGGGTGCCATCCTTCTCGAGTTCCCCTGGACAGAAGCAGGCCCTCAGGGTTCCTGGAGTCTTTGGATTTGATGACTGGGACACTTCTGAGGAGCTCTGTCGGGCATTCTGCTGACTGTGCATCCCTCGGGGTTGCCTGGTGGGCTGTCACAATGAGCCCAGGTACCTGTGCACCAGGGAGGACAATCGTTACGGTTAAAGCACTGTGTAGAGGAGTTGCACTACCCACATCTCTCATCACCGCTGATGATGATATCGACCCTGTTGTGGACATTTTTTTTTTTTTGCTGCTGAGTTTTCTTTCTCCCCTTTCCCTTTGGGGAGTGGCTCTTTGCCCAGCTCATATGCATGGAGTCGAGAGTGAGTTTCCACCTTCTGGAGGGTAAACTAGACACACAAAGTCCTGGGGCTTCCTTGTGGGACAGCCGTCTAATTCCCATGTGCCATGACGTGTGAGTGGCTTACTGGTATATTAGATGGGGACTCACGATACATATTGTTCTGGTTAACAAGCAGGGCAGCTCCAACAGTTGCTAGAGCATTGCTTTGTACACAGGAAACCTTCACTGTGTGCAACATATATACAAGGGCGAAAGGGACAGTGGTCTCCTTGCTATGCCCTGGCTGGGTTAGTGTGACTGCTTCGGAGGCCCTCTCCTCCCTCAGTCTTCTGGGATTCATTTTTTTCTCTTTCGTGATCTTCCAGGTAGCTTCCTTTTTCGGGAAGCCCTGCTGGCTTGCCTGCCTCGGATCTCCAGGCTTCTTCCTTGAACTTCATGTGTGGGTAGTGAGGACATGACCTTGAGCAGGCAGGAGCCTATCTTTGCGATCTGGGCCTCAGTTTTTCCCAGCTGTTAATCCAGGCTGAGGGTCTCTGTGCCAAGGGTGATTCCTTTCAGGTTTTCAGCTTGGGAGTCCTGGGTGATGTGGGGTTGGCATGTGAGGGACTGTCCATGGCTAGCAATGGGAACCAATCACAGAGGTCATCCCTCCTTTTTGAAAGCACAAGCGCTCAACAGGGATCTAAAAACTAGCCCCTTTGTCTCAGTGGGGAAAGTGTCAACCAAGGTCTGAGGACCTGGTACCTTCTTGCCTAATGCCCTAGGCTGGACAGAGGCAAGATCCAGCCACTGCTGTGTGCCCTTCCTACCTTGGAGAGGCCAGCAGGGTAGGCCCAGGGTCCTGGCCTCTCCTTAGCACCATTTTGGGCATCTTGCTTGAATGCTACCCCCGAGGAGCCTCAGGATAGAGGTTCAGGTTCCCTCAGTTTCCCAGGGAGCCAGTGCCCCCAGTGTGAGCCCCAGACAGCAGCTGACTCCACACACACCCTCAGAAGAGGAAATTGAGGCACAGGGAAGCCAAAAGGGGCTGCTGAGGGGACAAGCTGCTGAGGGGACAGGCTGCCGAGGGGACAGGTCAACCGGCTCTTTTGATAAAGAACAAAGAGCCTGAGTTCCTGATCCAGATGGAGGAAGGGAACACAGTGATACTCCCTGTAGCCACGGGCTGCCGCACCCAGCAGCCATGTTCTATAGGGCAGCCCACATGTCAAGACTCAGTTTCATCATTACCTGCACCGAGGGGAAAGTGGGGTCC